CGTGGGAGGGGCGTGTGCGCAGACGGGTTTATGTTCAGTGCCGTGCTGTCTGGCGTGGAAGTGGAGCGGGCACAGACGGGTTTACGCGCAGTGCTGTCCGGCGTGGGAGCCGAGGGGGCACAGACGGGTTTACACCCATATTTATACCTGCTGGGTGCTGGAGCTGTTGTGGGAATGGCTTGTTCCGGGATGGGCGGCTGAGGCTTGGGTGTGCCTGGGTTTCCCTGAAGCGCTGGGTGCACAGGAGGGCAGCGCCTGTTGTTTGGGCACTTGTGCTCCTTGCTATGCCGGGGTGAGGGGCTGCCAAGCCGCGTGAGACCCAGCCGGGCAGGACGCTGGCTTATCTCACTTGGAGTTCAGGCTCCTGACGCATTTTACCGGAGGGCCCTGCGTGGGCCCACGTTGCCTGGCTGGGCCAAGTGGTCAGTCGGCGTGAGCCCGACCTGGGCGCAGTGGGCTGCCCTGGACTCCCGTCGCCAGGAAAGGGACGTGTGCCCTCCCAGCCCTGGGAGGTCGGTGACGTGATGATGTGGAACGGCTGAGCAGGAGCCCAGCTCTGAGCACTAGGCACCGCTGCCCCCAGTGCGCTGGGCCCACGCTTCACTCGCACGTGTTCTGTGCTTCCTGCAGGTCACGTGTTCCCGGAATTCAAGGAGAGCGACGCCATGTTTGCTGCCGAAAGGGTGAGCTGCCCGGTGGGGAGGGGCTCTGGTGTTATCCAGCCACCTGCCAGTTCTGTCTCTGGCCACCCTTCAGTGGGAGGCCAAACCTCAGTCCCAGCTGGCAAAGCGCCCACAGCCTGGGCTCCAGGCATTCCCGCAGGTTCAGCCAGCCCTGGTGGGACGCGGCTCTGGAGCGGAAGGGCAGAATCCCTTCTCCTCATGCCCAGGGCCCAGGGATCTGCAGGAGGGCAGCCTCTCCAGCCGGTTCTTGTCTTGGCACCCCGCTAGGGTGCTGCCTGGGCACAGGGGTTCCCGCCAGGCATGGTGGCATGGGCGCCCCTCCTGGGAGCGGCCGAGAGGCCCCGCGGAGCCAGCCCACGGCTGGGCCCGTCCTAACGCAGGCCTCTGCTCCGCCCCAGGCGCCTGACTGGGTGGATGCCGAGGAGTGTCACCGCTGTCGAGTGCAGTTCGGGGTTGTGACCCGCAAGGTGGGTGCTGCTCTCTGCTTCCTGTCCCTGTGGGGCCCCGCCGGCGACGAGCTGCAGGAGCCTGGGCTGGGTGGGGGAAGGGCTCTGCCAGCACCTTACGCGATGGGCGGGGGCACCGCCCTGGCCTGGGGACGGTGCCCAGGTGCCAGCTGCCAAGGCTGAGCCTGTCCCCTCGGTTTGCAGCAGCACTGCCGGGCCTATTGGCAGT